CGCACGGAGGAGACCTCGCACGGAGGTGAAATTGCACGGAGGCGACCTCGCACGGAGGTGACATTGCATGGAGGTGACATCGCACGGAGGGGACGCAGGGCCGCCCGAGTCACGACAGGTGACGGAGGACAACGTCCAGAAGAGGGCTGGAGGGCTGACAGGGAGCGGCCGGAGGGAACTCTCCGTGGTGCCAGGAACATCTGGAGGCTCGCTCTGGGTGGTGGCCACGCGGATGTGGGGACATTCGCGGCAGTCGGGACCGGGGCTGACGGCCCCGAGGCGTCTCCCGGCTCCGTGAGTCCGTCCCCGAGGCGGTCTGCGCCCACAAAGCTCTGCGCTCTCCTGTGAGGGGGGCCCTCCGCGCACGCGTTCCAGGTCGTGCCGGCCTGTCCTGCTGCCAACCAGCCCCGCAGCCAGAAGGCTGGCCCTCAGGCGCTGGCCGCGGCCGACACCGCCCCTCAGGACGCTCTGTTAACTTTCTGAAACGAACGGCAGCCTTCACCTCTACGACGCCACCAACAGAAAACCAGCTTATGAACAAGTCCAAAGAAGAAGACGCATCACATAAGCAGACCTTTGCTTCTTATCAGCTTCGTACAACATACGCGCGTGAAGATTCACCGTGGTAGGGTGCACGCAGGTGGCCGGTCACGTGTCTGTCCCCGCAGTCCGAAGAGCCGGGCCGCGGCCAATGTGGCGTACCCCGCCCACACCCAGCCAGCCCCGCTCTGCGTCCCTTTCGTGGAACGTGCTACACATGGGACCACGCCACCTGTGGCCTTTCGGCCTGGCTTCCACTCAGCATCCTGCTTGTGAGACACGGCCCTGCTGGGGCGAGCGTGAAGTCACGGACCAGGAGCGGTCTGCGCCCCGGCTCCCGGCACAGCGCGTCCGGAACCTCGGTCAATCCCCACAGGACAGGGTGCCAGGTGCACCGTCCGCGCCGACGACGGGTGCTTGGCTGTCGCTGCTGACGCACCGCTCCTACGTGGCCTTGGGGCGTCCCGGCCGACGGGCGCGCCTGTTGTTTGCAGGTGGCCCTGGGGGCGCCGGACAGCAGGAAGGCTGAGCCAATGTGAGACACCTGAGCTGTTCGGCCCCACGCCATCCTCTGGGGAGGAGCGCACCTGGACGCGGGGGCAGGGATGCATCCCAGCGATGCCGGAAGGCTCCGTGAAAGTGAAGGTGACGGCTGGGCAGCTGCTGGGTGGTGAAGACACGCGGGCACGGGGGCTCCCAGCGCTCACCCGCTGGGCCGCTTCCTCTGTCTGTGCAGCTTCACCCTCCCACAGGGAGGGGCCGTGGGAACCCCCGGGTCTACAGCTGGCTGCTCAGCGCAGAGGAGACAACCTGGGATCTGTGCCGGGCGGGTGAAGTGGGAGGCCCTGGGGACCTCGGCCCCTCACCCTGGGGTCTCTGTTGCCCCTGCGAGGCGGCCCCGAACGGACTGGAAAACACAGTGCAAGCTAGTTAATGCCGGATGAGAAAGAAAGAGACGCACGGCACACTGATGCACGAGACGCCTGTAAAGCCGTGTCTACGAGGAAGCTCACAGCACCGCACACGAACGT